TGTAACGTCATTACTAGGACACAGTATCACGGTCCGACTGTAACGTCATTACTAGGACACAGTATCACGGTCCGACTGTAACGTCATTACTAGGACACAGTATCACGGTCCGACTGTAACGTCATTACTAGGACACAGTATCACGGTCCGACTGTAACGTCATTACTAGGACACAGTATCACGGTCCGACTGTAACGTCATTACTAGGACACAGTATCACTGACCGACTGTAACGTCATTACTAGGACACAGTATCACTGTCCGACTGTAACGTCATTACTAGGACACAGTATCACGGTCCGACTGTAACGTCATTACTAGGACACAGTATCACGGTCCGACTGTAACGTCATTACTAGGACACAGTATCACGGTCCGACTGTAACGTCATTACTAGGACACAGTATCACGGTCCGACTGTAACGTCATTACTAGGACACAGTATCACGGTCCGACTGTAACGTCATTACTAGGACACAGTATCACGGTCCGACTGTAACGTCATTACTAGGACACAGTATCACGGTCCGACTGTAACGTCATTACTAGGACACAGTATCACGGTCCGACTGTAACGTCATTACTAGGACACAGTATCACGGTCCGACTGTAACGTCATTACTAGGACACAGTATCACGGTCCGACTGTAACGTCATTACTAGGACACAGTATCACGGTCCGACTGTAACGTCATTACTAGGACACAGTATCACGGTCCGACTGTAACGTCATTACTAGGACACAGTATCACGGTCCGACTGTAACGTCATTACTAGGACACAGTATCACGGTCCGACTGTAACGTCATTACTAGGACACAGTATCACGGTCCGACTGTAACGTCATTACTAGGACACAGTATCACGGTCCGACTGTAACGTCATTACTAGGACACAGTATCACGGTCCGACTGTAACGTCATTACTAGGACACAGTATCACGGTCCGACTGTAACGTCATTACTAGGACACAGTATCACGGTCCGACTGTAACGTCATTACTAGGACACAGTATCACGGTCCGACTGTAACGTCATTACTAGGACACAGTATCACGGTCCGACTGTAACGTCATTACTAGGACACAGTATCACGGTCCGACTGTAACGTCATTACTAGGACACAGTATCACGGTCCGACTGTAACGTCATTACTAGGACACAGTATCACGGTCCGACTGTAACGTCATTACTAGGACACAGTATCACGGTCCGACTGTAACGTCATTACTAGGACACAGTATCACGGTCCGACTGTAACGTCATTACTAGGACACAGTATCACGGTCCGACTGTAACGTCATTACTAGGACACAGTATCACGGTCCGACTGTAACGTCATTACTAGGACACAGTATCACGGTCCGACTGTAACGTCATTACTAGGACACAGTATCACGGTCCGACTGTAACGTCATTACTAGGACACAGTATCACGGTCCGACTGTAACGTCATTACTAGGACACAGTATCACGGTCCGACTGTAACGTCATTACTAGGACACAGTATCACGGTCCGACTGTAACGTCATTACTAGGACACAGTATCACGGTCCGACTGTAACGTCATTACTAGGACACAGTATCACGGTCCGACTGTAACGTCATTACTAGGACACAGTATCACGGTCCGACTGTAACGTCATTACTAGGACACAGTATCACGGTCCGACTGTAACGTCATTACTAGGACACAGTATCACGGTCCGACTGTAACGTCATTACTAGGACACAGTATCACGGTCCGACTGTAACGTCATTACTAGGACACAGTATCACGGTCCGACTGTAACGTCATTACTAGGACACAGTATCACGGTCCGACTGTAACGTCATTACTAGGACACAGTATCACGGTCCGACTGTAACGTCATTACTAGGACACAGTATCACGGTCCGACTGTAACGTCATTACTAGGACACAGTATCACGGTCCGACTGTAACGTCATTACTAGGACACAGTATCACGGTCCGACTGTAACGTCATTACTAGGACACAGTATCACGGTCCGACTGTAACGTCATTACTAGGACACAGTATCACGGTCCGACTGTAACGTCATTACTAGGACACAGTATCACTGACCGACTGTAACGTCATTATTAGGACACAGTATCACTGTCCGACTGTGACGTCATACTAGGACACAGTATCACGGTCCGTCTGTAACGTCATTACTAGGACACAGTATCACGGTCCGACTGTAACGTCATTACTAGGACACAGTATCACGGTCCGACTGTAACGTCATTACTAGGACACAGTATCACGGTCCGACTGTAACGTCATTACTAGGACACAGTATCACGGTCCGACTGTAACGTCATTACTAGGACACAGTATCACGGTCCGACTGTAACGTCATTACTAGGACACAGTATCACGGTCCGACTGTAACGTCATTACTAGGACACAGTATCACGGTCCGACTGTAACGTCATTACTAGGACACAGTATCACTGACCGACTGTAACGTCATTACTAGGACACAGTATCACTGTCCGACTGTAACGTCATTACTAGGACACAGTATCACGGTCCGACTGTAACGTCATTACTAGGACACAGTATCACGGTCCGACTGTAACGTCATTACTAGGACACAGTATCACGGTCCGACTGTAACGTCATTACTAGGACACAGTATCACGGTCCGACTGTAACGTCATTACTAGGACACAGTATCACGGTCCGACTGTAACGTCATTACTAGGACACAGTATCACGGTCCGACTGTAACGTCATTACTAGGACACAGTATCACGGTCCGACTGTAACGTCATTACTAGGACACAGTATCACGGTCCGACTGTAACGTCATTACTAGGACACAGTATCACGGTCCGACTGTAACGTCATTACTAGGACACAGTATCACGGTCCGACTGTAACGTCATTACTAGGACACAGTATCACGGTCCGACTGTAACGTCATTACTAGGACACAGTATCACGGTCCGACTGTAACGTCATTACTAGGACACAGTATCACGGTCCGACTGTAACGTCATTACTAGGACACAGTATCACGGTCCGACTGTAACGTCATTACTAGGACACAGTATCACGGTCCGACTGTAACGTCATTACTAGGACACAGTATCACGGTCCGACTGTAACGTCATTACTAGGACACAGTATCACGGTCCGTCTGTAACGTCATTATTAGGACACAGTATCACAGTCCGACTGTAACGTCATCACTAGGACACAGTATCACGGTCCGTCTGTAACGTCATAACTAGGACACAGTATCACTGACCGACTGTAACGTCATTACTAGGACACAGTATCACTGTCCGACTGTAACGTCATTACTAGGACACAGTATCACGGACTGACTGTTACTTCATTACTAGGACACAGTATCACAGTCCGACTGTAATGTCATTACTAGGACACAGTATCACAGTCCAGCTGTAACGTCATCACTAGGACACAGTATCACGGTCCGACTGTAACGTCATTACTAGAACACAGTATCACGGTCCGACTGTAACGTCATTACTAGGACACAGTTTCAAGGTCCGGCTGTAAAGTCATTACTAGCACACAGTATCACAGTCCGGCTGTAACGTCATTACTAGACTGTAACGTCAGTACAAGGACACAGTATCACTGACTGACTTTAACGTCATTACTAGGACACAGGATCACGGTCCGACTGTAACGTCAGTACTAGGACACAGTATCACGGTCCAACTGTAACGTCATTACTAGGACACAGTATCAAGGTCCGGCTGTAACGTCATTACTAGGACACAGTATCACAGTCTGACTTTAACATCATTACTAGGACACAGTATCACGGACCGACTGTAACGTCATTACTAGGACACAGTATCACTGACCGACTGTAACGTCATTACTAGGACACAGTATCACAGTCTGACTTTAACATCATTACTAGGACACAGTATCACGGACCGACTGTAACATCATTACTAGGACACAGTATCACGGACCGACTATAACGTCAGTACTAGGACACAGTATCACTGACCGACTGTAACGTCATTACTAGGACACAGTATCACAGTCTGACTTTAACATCATTACTAGGACACAGTATCACGGACCGACTGTAACGTCATTACTAGGACACAGTATCACGGACTGATTGTAACGTCATTAATAGGACACAGTATCACGGTCCGGCTGTAACGTCATTACTAGGACACAGTATCACGGACTGACTGTAACGTCATTACTAGAACACAGTATGTAAGTGTCCTTGTGTGACCCAGTGTAAGTGTCCCTGTGTGACCCTGTGTAAGTACTGCTGTGTGACCCTGTGTAAATACCTGTGTGTGACCCTGTGTAAATACCCCTGTGTGACCCTGTGTAAATACCCCTGTGTGACCCTGTGTAAGTACCTGTGTGTGACCCAGTATAAGTACCATGTGTGACCCTGTGTAAGAACCTGTGTGTGACCCAGTAAAAGGACCCCTGTGTGACCCTGTGTAAGTACCTGTGTGTGACCCAGTATTAGTACCCCTGTGTGACCCTGTGTAAGTAGCTGTGTGTGTCCCAGTATAAGTACCCCTGTGTGATCCTGTGTAAGTACCCTTGTGTGACCCTGTGTAAATACCCCTGTGTGACCCTGTGTAAGTACCTGTGTGTGACCCAGTATAAGTACCATGTGTGACCCTGTGTAAGAACCTGTGTGTGACCCAGTAAAAGTACCCCTGTGTGACCCTGTGTAAGTAGCTGTGTGTGTCCCAGTATAAGTACCCCTGCGGACCCTGTGTAAGTACCCCTGTGTGTCCCAGTATAAGTACCCCTGTGTGACCCTGTTTAAGTACCCATTTGACCAGGTGTAAGTACCCTGTGTGACCCTGTTTAAGTACCCCTGTGTGTCCCAGTATAAGTACCCCTGTGTGACCCTGTTTAAGTACCCATTTGACCAGGTGTAAGTACCATGTGTGACCCTGTTTAAGTACCCCTGTGTGACCCTGTGTAAGTACCCTGTGTGGCCTATATGAGCAGCAATACTTACTATCACAGATGATTTCAAGAGAAGGCACGAAGTAGTCATCACAAAGAAGGGCAAAGCCCAGGAACATGTAGAGCGACACGAGGACGTGAACTATAATCCCGCCCCGTAGACGTTCGTCTTGAGTAAACAGTCCTTTAGGGAACTGTTCCACAGCTCGCGGTGTACAGTTCTCCAGGGCCGTCAGGTGGCGCGACTCCACTGAAACATACATAATCATTTATAGTCGTGTATCATAATTATAAATATGTATACATCTCTGTGCGCATATGAGGGAGTATTTTTCGTGTCATATAAATACAGTCATGTTATCAATAGGAATATGTTGCAGAGTTTAATGTATCTTTTAAATTAATAAAAGTAGATAACTTTAACAATGTATAACATGATAGAGACTGAGTGGGAAAAACTTTGCACATGCATTCAAAGTTTGAAGAAAAGTAACACACATGCATGCACATGTTTATTATTGTAATAATTTCCCTAAGGAACATACAACTGAAGTATTTCAATGGTTTTTCTCTACAAGAACTATTATGTACATGTATATATCTCTCCATATTTCCTAAAACCCCTTCAATTATGCCCACGTAAGTTTAAAGCAATTAAACAATCAGCTTGGAGAATGTGCACCACTTGGCCCTCAGTTCTTAATTAAAGTAAATAGTTATTTGTGAGAATCAAATACAATCTATCTAGTCACTGATCAGTGGTCCTTGAAAAATTATTGGCAGAATTTCAAAAAGCCAGTAAATATATTGATGAAAACCAATTATTTTCTCATTTGATCTTTTTATTTCAAGTATCCGTAGCAACAAGACAACTACTTTGTATGTCAATAATCTAACAAACGAAATTTCCACAAGGAAATCTCATTAAATACCTCATTATTTCCAATTTATCAACATCACTCTTTCAAAAACCTTTGTTAAACTTGAGACTTTAATTTCAACAGAGAAATCAGTTTTTATCTGTACTGATGTAACAAGATAATTAACCTTACAAAATGTCAAATGAAGTTGTATCTATTTTAGGAAATTGGATCCCAAAACATGCAGTGTGCCGATAATTGACTTTTTCCTCATTATCAAGGATCATATAATAGCTACAGAGGTTTCATCGTAAACATTGAATCTCATACTACAAGCAGGCGAGCAACCTAATTCATCGAGCAACCTAATTCATCGTCTCTCAGCATAAACACTCAGTGATACTAATCTTGTTTTCACCATATGGGGGTGGTTTAATTTCTTGGTTATTGTCTGTTAGTTAGAAAGGTCACACACAAAAGTCTTATCACAAATAAGCCACGGAATACAGGAAGCAGAAAAAGATTCTGACCAAGTAAAGCTCCCCATCAAAACTACACCACACACATGAAAAAGCAGGATTTATATGCGATTTGAGACATAATACTGTATAACCATATTGATTTTGTCGACTAAGAAATCAGCATCAAATACTGCCATAAACACAGACATCTTAAGATAAGCGTTGTTTAATTGAAAATATTGGCAGATGTGCCAGCATCATACCCTGTCTGGTTTTATTACCAGACTCCACTTGATTCTACGACAACCATTTTATTTTTCACTTTCTGCTATAATCTCTCAGTTCAAGTTCACAAGTGTAATAGGAGATAACTATTCGTGGATATGCAGACACGTTAATTCTGGCACTAGCTTATGCCGACGTGATACATCATTCTCAGAATCATTGACGTGATACACCATTCTCAGAATCATTGCCGTGATACACCATTCTCAGAATCATTGACGTGATACACCATTCTCAGAATCATTGACGTGATACACCATTCTCAGAATCATTGACGTGATACACCATTCTCAGAATCATTGACGTGATACACCATTCTCAGAATCATTGAAGCGATACACCATTCTCAGAATCATTGACGTGATACAACATAGTAACAGTAACAGGTCGTATTGTCATTATAGTAACAGGTCGTATTGTCGTTATAGTAACAGGTTGTATCCTTGTATAGTAACAGGTTGTATCGTTGTTATAGTAACAGGTTGTATTGTCATTATAGTAACAGGTCATATTGTTGTTATGTAACAGGTTGTATCGTTGTTATAGTAACAGGTCGTATTGTCGTTATAGTAACAGGTTGTATTGTCTATGTAGTAACAGGTCGTATCGTCGTTATAGTAACAGGTTGCATTGTCTATATAGTAACAGGTTGTATCATCGTTATAGTAACAGGTCATATTGTCTTTATAGTAACAGGTCGTATCTACATTCTGTCACTCTATTGATATTTTTTCAGTATAGTTTTCCGTCTGTAAACAACAAATGGATACAATAGTCGATGACTTCTGTTGTTTTATTTACATTATAAAGTCAAGTGGATGGGTAATTCTCATTTTCTAGGGTTATTTAGTCTCCAGGGGGTATATTTTGAGCAGAATCTCCCCCATAGGAATTTCAAAAAGTTGGCAAGTATGAGATTGATGCATGTACAAATATATACATTAATTAAGAAGTCATCTTGAACAGTTTTGGAGCCATGCTTCAGAAACAACAATTGTTTTGTTTTGAACATTTTGTTTCAGTGGTAACCAAAAAGAAAACATGACAAATGATTACTCCCTCATAACTAAATGCAATACTATTTTGCTGAATGTATTGTCGTATTAAAACAAGGTATAACAAATAGCCAACATTTACATATTTGTTTGTGTATATACAATGATTGATCAGTTTAAATCTGTTAAATGTTCATTGACAAGAAATTTAAGAAAAAAACTCTGTTTTTTATCTTATTTTCCCTCTATCAATGAGTCACTAAAGTAAAATACAGCCCTAGTGAAGCTGACTACAGGTAAATACAGTACCTAAGGAAGGTTAATTAAGCACCTGCGGCACCTACACCTGTCATGTTGGAGGCGGTATGATGTACGGTAGCTGTAGTAATACCTGGCCACACAATATATACATTTCTGTACTTATACTGGTATATTTATTTTTTTATACAATTCCTGCCTCCATACCAAATTGAGTAAATTTTCTTACACAGTAAAATCGTATCATTTTCGAACAATTATTATTCCTCTGAAAAACTGAAGTAGTCATTCACACATCAGAAACTACAAAATGTATTTCAAACATCATTATATACATATTGTTTCTTTGTCCTCCATAAAAATCACTTGACACCACTAACAGAGATATCTATGGAGGGAACTATCAGAACTTGGAAATTAGAGATAACGCGTTAACAGCTACATAATGTTTTTTGTTCAATGTAATACATACTGATACAAAACACCTGTGTAATGTGTTGTACAATAGAACTATGTAAATTAAGGAATTCCCCGCCAAGGCATAGGTGTCAACCTTTGAAACCTCCAATGAAGGAGATCTCCCTGGTTCCTCATTTCCAATGAGAGAGAAAGTTTGTGAAACATGACTGAAACTGCTTTGCTCAATTTATCTGTCCTTTTTTATGTACCAAAATAACTCATTTTAGACATTCTTTGATTCAGACACACAGAGAGACAGTATCGGTCACGGTGACCTACATTTGATATAAAGGTCAGAGTGACCTACAGATGACATAATACTCCTCACAATGTATCAATGACTGATATTTGATCAGTGTTAAACATATACATGTAGTATATGTTTTACAGTCAAGGAGCTATACACAAGTCTAATCAAAGACAGGGAAACAGACAGTAGAGGTCACAGTAGTGTTGGGAATCCCTTTAAAAATCATGCTCGATCCTCACTTCCGATCAAGTGACTGATGATCAACTAATGATCTATTAAACTGAACTTAAATTCAGGAATTTAAGGTTATATTCGTTTTCCGGGGAAATCCAAGTTTATATTGTGTTAACGCTAGAATTAGTCAAACTATAATGGATCATGGGAAACAAGGATCGATTAATCAATTTTCAGAAACAAACGACCAGACGTTGACAAAATCAATTAATCAGAACACTAGGTCACAGTGACCTACATTTATTATATTGGTCACAGTGACCTACTTTTGGTATATAGGTCCATGTGACCTATATTTGATATATAGGCCACAGTGACCTACATTTGATATAGGTCACAGTGACCTAATTTCATTTAAAGGTAAAGTGAAAACTTAAACAATAATTATTAAATAATTTATTATGAATCTGTTTAAAGTTTTTCAAGCAACATCCAGACCAATGATAAAAAAAAATGTTTGTTTGACCGCTCGCTGATGGATACATTTTACTGTTATATTGGGTTAAACTGGTTAAGTTGATATACTGTGTAATAACATGGGATCAGTCATACATAGAAACTATTCAGTTGTAAATTGATATTTTATCCATTATCTATCTCAATAAGCCAGAACAATAAAATGTGACAGTTTCAGGATAATAAAGAACTATAGCCTGGCGATAAAAGCAGTTGTTTAATAGTACTAGCTATAAACTCAGAATTATTGTACTGTTCCCACCCACTCCTCCACATGTGTGTATTTTATTGTAGTCTTCTTTTCATAAACTGACCTATAACAAATATCTATTGCAGTTTTAAGTACAGCATGTTGATATGTTTTCATGTGTATATTTTGCACATGCGTCAACACAAAATAGCAAAAAGTTCCAATCAAAATATTGGCGTACAAAGCAAAGTATACAAGAAGATTAGCTGATGAAAACATATATCATTATTTCACACTTCAAGTTCGAAACAGAAAGGAAAGTAACTGGAATTTAAAGTATATTTGGGAAAAAAACAGTATAATGACCTCCCTTTGAAGTGAGGCGTCTGGGATTGTAGATGTAGACAGCCTAAGAGATTTCATCCTCCAATAATTAACTGTATTCTGCCACAAGTAATTGTTTATTCTGTACAAATATAGCCAGGAGTACATTTCCTCCGTAATTAGTTGGTTTGGTGTCATTTATATTTTGCGGAAATGTGGTTTCTGACACGTCGGCTATGTCGTGACATATGATATGGTAAACAGAAGAAAATAGAGGTTTTACATGTAAAATTATTCAGATGTCCGTAATAGTGTCTTGTCTGTCAGTATTATAATATTGTTGGCTAGAGAGCCAAGTACAGGACAGAACAACCTCACCAATTCTCCTGTGGGATTTAATTTCAGATATTGTCATTTCCGTTTATTGCCTTTAATTATCATGCATTTAACAAAGCAGGTACTTTGATAAACTTAATTA